TGTTTTTCCTGAAGAGTTGCCTGGATTACCGCCGGATAGGGAAGTTGAGTTTGAGATTGAAGTTTGTTCTAGTTTCACCCGGTTTCAATGGCTCCTTATCGTATAGCCCCAAAGGAGCTTAAGGAACTGAAAGTCTAACTTCAGGAGTGGTTGGATAGGGGATTTATTCGACCCAGTGTATCACCGTGGGGAGCCCCAGTTCTTTTTGTCAAGAAGAAAGATGGGACACTGAGACTCTGTATTGATTATAGGAAACTGAACAAGCTCACGGTTAAAAACAAATATCCTCTGCCCAGGATCGATGATCTATTTGACCAATTTCGAGGGACTTCTATCTTTTGAAAGATAGACTTGAGATCTGGTTATTACCAACTTAAAGTGAAAGATTCTGATATTTTGAAGATTGTTTTTCATACTCGGTATGGCCATTACTAGTTTCTAGTAATGTCATTCGGGTTAACTAATGCCCCTACTGCTTTTGTGGATCTGATGCATCGGGTGTTCTGACCTTATTTGGACCAGTTTGTAGTTGTATTCATCGATGACATACTGGTGTATTCTCGAACTGAAGTAGAACATGATGAGCATTTAAGGATTGTTCTATAGACTCTAAGGGAAAATAAGTTATTCGCTAAGTTGAGCAAGTGTGAATTCTAGCTCAGCGAAGTGACTTTTCTTTGACATATCGTTTTTGCTCATGGTATTCGGGTGGATCCGAGCAAAGTTGAGGCTATCATAAACTGGAAGCAACCCATAAATGTCTCAGAGATTCGTAGTTTCTTGGGCTTAGTTGGTTACTACCGTCGTTTTGTTGAGGGGTTCTCCCTTATTGCAGCTCATCTGACGAAACTATTGAGGAAAGATGTTCCATTTATCTGGTCTAAGAATCAACAAGCTAGCTTTAAGAAACTAAAGATTGTTCTAACTCAAGCCCCAATGCTGATTCAGCCTGAATCTGGAAAAGATTTTTCTGTCTACAATGATGCTTCTCACTCTGGATTAGGATGTGTTTTGATGCAAGATGAGAAGGTTGTCGCTCATGCTTCACGTCAATTAAAACCGCATGAGCGTAACTATCCTACTCACGATCTGGAGTTAGCTGTCGTGGTTTTTTCTTTAAAGATCTGAAGACACTACCTCTACGGAGAAAAGTGTTATATCTATATTGATCATAAGAGTCTAAAGTATCTGCTTACTCATAAAGAATTGAATTTGAGACAGCGTCGCTGGTTGGAGCTTATAAAGGACTATGATTTTGAGATAGAATATCATATAGGGAAGACTAATGTAGTGACTGACGCCTTGAGCCGTAAGGCGATATCAGATTTCAGAGCCTTATTCGCCAACTTGAGTTTATTTGATGACAATAGTCTGTTAGCAGAGTTGCAAGTTAAACCTACTTTGGCCGATGAGATTAAGGCCAAACAGATTCTTGATAGCTCATTGCTTCCCATTATTGAACAAGTTAACCAAGGATCAAATTCAGAGTACACTGTGGACCAGGATGATATTTTGTGCTTTCATGGTCGTTATTGCGTCCCTAAAGATGATGAGTTGAGACGGTTATTCTTTAGGAGACTTATAGTAGTCCTTATGCTATGCATCTTGGCGGGTATAAAATGTACAATAATCTCAAAGAGGGCTACTTTTGGACTGATATGAAAAAGAATATTTCAGATTTTGTGGCGAGGTGTTTGACTTGTCAACAGGTTAAGACAGAGAACCAACATCCATCTGGATTGTTACAGTCAATTAAGATTCATGAGTGGAAATGGGAGCACATTACAATGGATTTCATTACTGGTCTTCCTCTGACTACTTCTAAAAATGATTCTATTTGGGTGATTGTTGATCGACTCACCAAGTCAGCGCACTTTATCCCTATTCGGATTAATTATTCTCTGTACAAACTTGCTAGGTTGCATATTTCTGAGATCGTTAGACTTCATGGTGTTCCGTTGTCTATCATATCTGACCGAGATTTGAGGTTCACTTCCAGGTTCTGAAAGGCTTTGCACGAGGCTCTGGGTACTCGTTTGAATTTTAGTATAACTTTTCATCCACATACTGATAGACAGTTTGAGAGTTATTCAGGTGTTGGAGGATATGTTATGGGGTTGTGTGATTGATTTATGTGGTAGTTGGGAAGATTTCTTGCTATTAGCTGAGTTTGCTTACAATAATAGTTACCGGGCAAGTATTCACATGGCACCATACGAGGCTCTGTATGGACGTAAATGTCGTACTCCTATATGTTGGAAAGAGTTGCATGATAGAAAAACTTTGGGTCCAGACTTGGTTCGAGAGACTGAAGATATTGTCAGACTGATCCGTGATCGCTTAAAAGAGACATTTGATAGGCATAAATCATATGCAGATAAGCAATGTAAGGATATCGAGTTTGGGGTTGGGGATCAGGTTTTTCTCAAGGTATCACCATGGAAGAAAGTATTGAGATTTGGACGTAAGGGTAAGTTGAGTTAGAGATTTATTGGGACGTATCGTATTCTGAAGAAAGTCAGACATGTTGCTTATCAGCTTGAGTTGCCTCCTCAGCTCAGTCGTATTCATGATGTTTTTCATGTGTCTATGTTGAGGCGATACCGTCCAGATCCAGATCACATCATTTAGGTTGATGAGGTAGAGCTGAGACCTGATTTGTCATACGAGGAGGAGCCCCGTTCAGATTTTAGAAAGGGATGAGTGAGTTCTTCGAAATAGGCGTATTCCAATGGTTAAAGTTCAATAGAGTAACCGTGGCCCATCAGAAGCTACTTGGGAGACATTAGAGTCAATGAAGGCTGAATTTCCTCATCTATTTTCATAAGGTAAATTTCGAGGACGAAATTTCTTGTAGAGTGGGAGAATTGCAACAACCCGGAAAAATGGAAAAAATTATAATTAAGCAATTTGGCAAATTAGGGATTAAATTAAAATTTTTCAAAACTTGTAGGCTATTTTAGAAGTGAAGAAAATTTAGGGACCAAGCCCTGAATTTACACAAATAGTATCGACAAAAACTCATTATATGTGTTTCTTTCGTTTATGAAATCAGAAATGAAACTCAAATTTCCTCCTCCAGCGTCTAACTTCCAAATCCGATTCCGACGCCGTCCAACCTCTAATCGTCAATTTGAAATCACCATCGTGTTCGTCATAGAGCGATGAACAAACCCCTTAAATCAATTGAAGTGACACACTGTCAAACGCCGTGAATTTCGATTCAAAGTTTCGACTTTTTTAAGCACCAACGACTAGAAAATCTTCAATTCATCTCCGATCGTTGCTTCGTTTTCAACACCTCCCACACCATCGTGTTCCTTGTGTCGTTTCAAGTTCGTCGGTGTCCTCCTTGTTTTCGGCGGCGGCGGCGCGTGAGGGAGGTGAAGCGATCAAAGTTTCAGATTTGTTGGATTTCAGGCTCCTTTGTTGTGTGCTCAGAGTAAGTCCTTACTGGTGTGCATGTGAGTGTATGGTTCTGGGGAACCTATACATTTTAACCAAGAATCATATCGGAAATATGCAGTAAATTAGGTACACTTCATTTTTCAGTTAAAATCTACATTTCAAACGTGTTTATTGACTCAAACTAAGAGCCTGAAAAATGATGCTTTTACGTTAGAAAAGTTCGTTTGGAGAAGGGTTCCCAAACTAAATTTTGCTAGGTTGGTTCATGCGGCTATCTTTAAATAACGTCCAACATGTTCGAGATTTGAATTTGTAGATTGGTCTAAATATATGCAAAGTAATCGAGCTAAACTTAATTTGTTTGATTCAATTGGTTATTTCAGTCTCACTCTTTCTGACTCGGATTAAATAGTATTTAAGTTTAAAATTAGCACGAACCAAGTAATCTTCGTGATAAAAATATTATTATTATTGTTTGAGGACTTTGCTCGAGTATCTATCACCATAGATGTCATGGATGTGAGCATTCCTCATAGATAGGATATTTATCCATGTAGTCTACCGCTTCGTTAGCTTCTCTTGTGATGTGTATGAACTCGATAAACCATGAATTAACACTTCTTTTTAAAAAAAGGTAATATTTGTTCATAAATAAATTAAATAAGTAGATTGAAATGAAAATATCAAATTAAAATGGGATTTGGTCGTTAAACCAACATTTTACTGGTCCTTGGCAACTATTAACAAATTTGTTGTTAAAGTTGATTTATGAATAGACAAAATTAACAAACATTCCTCTTTAATCTCTTTGATTTAACCCCACTTTTCATTATGTTTTTGTTTCATCTCATCCTCACAAATTCTCTGTCCCCCCCCCTCCCCCTCTCCAAATCTCCATTTTTCTAATGTCGAATTAAAATATTTGATTGGTGTTTTATTAAGCAGCAGCAAAGGGTGAAACCATTGCCAAAATTTGGAGAGTGGGACGAAAACAATCCAGCCACAGGTGAAGGGTTCACAGCAATATTCAACAACGCCAGAGATAAGAAGAAAACCAGAGGCAAAGGGGTTAATGCTGCTTCCTCCAAAAAAACTGACCTTCCCCATCTCCTCCTTCTCCTTCTCCAAAGGTATTATTTACACATACACAGAGAGAGATGAATCCTTGTTATTTCGACCCTTTAATCATATATATATTCCTTTCAGAGTAAATGGTTTTGCTGTGTTGGAGTTTAAGGCTACACTGGGATGATCACAATTTGGCTGCAGCCTGGATTACCAGTGTAATGGAGAGTTAAGATCCTGGGTTTCTTCTTTCTTTTTCCTTTCCCAACCATATCGAGTTGTTTATATGTGCCATGGTTGGCTCAATCAAAACCCATTGGTGGTGGAATGTAAATTACTATTAATAATAATAAGATCTTACAGAGTTTAACCCAATAATGAAAAATTCTTGACCCGATTTATATCACAATTTAGACCGACCCGGTTTCACACTGGAATAGGATGGCGATAGTATTTGTGTGGGAAATTGTGGCGGATAAGTGGAGAGAGAGAGAAAAGGAGACATTTAAAGGAACACCATCCAATTATAGCCAACGGAATCTATCAAAGCTGAAGCTAAAATCACAGCATGAAAATGGCTTCCACTGCCATCTCTCTTTCATTATCACCATTCCCTTCGTCTTCTTCTTTAACCGTTAAACCCAAAGCTTCCATTCTCAGCAACCGCCATTTATTCATTGCAAAGCATTCGCTTTCTCCTTCTTCACTCTTTACTTCAGCATCGACAACAAGAAGAACAGAGCGAGTTTGTACTTCTTTCACGATCAAATGCTCGTCGGCTTCTTCTTCTTCGGATACCCTTCCTTCTGCTCTTCTTTTTGACTGTGATGGTGTTCTCGTTGATACTGAGAAGGATGGTCACCGGGTTTCGTTCAATGATACTTTCGATGAAGTAAATTTCATCTTTTTATTTCTTCTTCTTCTTCTTTGCCTATTTGTGATTTTCTAGGGATGTTTTATGGCGCTACTTGCAGAAAGAATTGGGTGTTACGTGGGATGTGGATTTGTATGGAGAGTTGCTCAAAATTGGTGGGGGGAAAGAAAGGTAATCGCTTTTACATCTTTATCTCGTTTGAAGCTTTCTTTTTACGTTTGAGTGAAATGTATGAACATAATATATACTCGGAGAGTATAAGAAACATGAACTTGTGGGATTCATACATACAAATTCACTACTAAATAACTGATCATGGATTCTACATCTATACGTGTGCCATCACTCGATTAATATCATCTTCGAAATCAAAATTTGAAATTCAAGTTTTCAAATGCTGTTAAAACAAGTTTGGAAGCAAGAATATGCAATTCCGGGTTTAGATATCATTTGTCATGTAAATGGTGAGAATGCAATGAATATATGATGTATAAAATAGTCATGAAATTGGATTATTGAAAGACACAAGCATGAATTTGAAATTGGACATCCAACAAATTCAAGAATTTGAAGAATGTGCTCATTTTATCATACAATTCACTACTCTATCTTCGAAATCCGGGCTCCGAAACACAACTAATTTATTTGTATGTTTGTTTTTTTAAGAATGACAGCTTACTTTAACAAGACAGGGTGGCCAGATAAAGCTCCAAAGAGCGAAGAAGAAAGAAAGCAATTCATTGCTTCACTTCACAAACGAAAAACTGAGTTGTTCATGGCCCTTATTGAGAATAGACTGCTACCTCTTCGTCCCGGTGTAGCCAAGTTAGTCCTCTTCTTTTAATCTATGCAGTCTTTATAATGTTCCATATAAAAGTTCATGTTCAACATTTGTGTACACTCTTATTTGGACATCAATATGAGTATGATCTTCCGAAAGTTCGCCTATTGTGGGAGATATACCCTTATGCCATATCCGACGACTCGCTAGATTCCCGAGTAACGTTGTACTTTATTACTCAATTTTTTCTGTTTAGCATCACCTTGAATAACGTGGAAAAGTTGATTATATGGACATATATCCATATCTGACACTCACTCGAATCCAGGTAACATTGGATTTTATTACTCAAGCGTTTGTGCTTAGCATGACATTCACTTCATTATTAAGAGGATTCAAGTTAATCATAATTTGATTCTTTGGCATGTTTATAAAGAAAGAAAAAGTATATGTACTACTCATACTCATACCTGACACACTCGAATCCGATAAAATTGCATTTAATTACTTAAATGTGTTATTTTGAGATGTTTTAGAATTCCATATTCTAGCCTTTTGGGTTACTTTTGATCATATTAAACAGGTTGATTGATCAAGCTTTGGAGAAAGGAGTAAAAGTTGCAGTGTGCAGTACATCCAATGAGAAGGCGGTATGCTAATCAGGTTTTATATAGCTATGATTAACTGTATGACTAAATCCGGTAATTGTGGACCTGATATGGACACAGACCATTTACTAGACATGGAAGTAATATGATCGACACGATACTCTATACAGGGTTAGCTGTTAGGACTTCATGGAGTTGTGTTTATATTTCATTGTTTACACCGCTGATACAGAAAATATAGATCACTATGCATGTGCACATATTGCCAAGTTTAAGGACGATTTTCAGTTATGTTACTCGGACTCGAGTGTGTTTCGGATATGAGTATGTGTTCAACACTTTGGTAGTTTTTCCATGTATTTAGAGGATCATTAGAAAATCATATCTTCACACTGAGTGTGTCTGGATTTGCTCTTTTTGAATTCTCAATTCTATTCCTCATAAACAAATCATTACTATTTGTATAGGTCTCTGCAGTAGTTTCTTGTCTACTGGGACCAGAACGTGCAGAAAAAATACAGATATTTGCCGGAGATGTGGTTCCTCGTAAGAAACCTGATCCAGTGAGTATTTCATCCCTCTTAATCTATATTAAACTGCCATACATTTATATCTAGTTGGAAGTTGGGACATATTATTAAAAAAATGGGGACGTTTAACTACCGAAGAAACCCTTTAACTGGACACTTTTTTTCCAATCGATGTGGTTCACAAGTGACTCATTATAGTAAGACTTAGTTCAAGTTCATATGTTTGTCTACTTGAAGATGGATTATCGTAAAGATTACGTGTTTTTTTTTCTGGCAGGCCATCTATACATTAGCAGCAAACACACTCGGTGTTGAACCGTCAAGGTATTGCATCGTAACATAGCCTTCACTGATGGTAGTCGGATTCTTTTTTTTTTTGAAGGAAAGCTGAAATGATTAACTATTAATGGCATCTGAAATTACTGGGATTCAGTTGTGAGAGTCCATCATGTCTAGATATTTGTTTAATACTGATGTCAGACTCTGGTACTCCAAGAAAAATAAAGAGTGGGAACAACGAACAACATAAACATGTTAAATGCGCTTGATCAACACTCAACAATTTCACTTGATTTAACTTTTTTTTCTTCCCGTTTTGTTCCTTAGCTGTGTTGTTGTAGAAGACAGTGCCATAGGACTTGCTGCTGCCAAAGCTGCTGGAATGACTTGCATAGTGACAAAGAGCGGGTAAATCTCTTTACTAAACGAGACATCTCTGCTCGTAAATTGTAGGCTGCATTAGAAGATCATTGGTTTTTTTGGTCTCCAACTTTTTGATTGCACAAAAGATTCATTGCAACATGTTCATTTAACTAAATGCATTTAACTGGAACTAACAAACCTTCCGGCATCGTAAACCGAGAACCGGAAAGCTTCTTAAAACCCGATAACAAGATTTCCCTATAATGACAGTCATGCATTAGCAATTCATATTTAACATTGAGTGGTCCTTTGGTTGCAGTTATACGGCCGATGAAGACTTCTTAAATGCAGATGCAGTGTTCGATTGCATTGGAGATCCACCGGAAGAGAGGTTTGATCTAGCATTCTGTGCAAGCCTTCTTGAGAAACAGTACGTTGGTTAAGCCTCATAGTATTATTTTGTTTCTATGGTTTAATTTTGTTGTCTATACAATTTATTCCTAGTCTGTCATGTTTGGAGAGAAATTATCACTGTAAAACTGAAAATTATAGATTCAACTCGTACTTCTTGGTTTTCAATATAATGCAAAGGATTCAAGCTTGAAACAGATGAATATGGAGCTTTCTTATAAAAAGGTGGCTGTACATCTCATGTATCGGAAAGGATGGCAAATGTTAAGATTTGAATAAGCGTGATAGTGGTTAGGTTCAAACTGTTGTGATTTTTAACCTTTGAACGGAAAACTGAATCGAATATGTTAATTATTGTCCAATTGAAATCAAACCGAATTCAAGAAACAACACCAAAACCAAATAGCAGCTCATTAATTTCAATACACAAATCATCGATTTAAACGTGCATATGTACAACCAACCGGCGGGATCATGTCCAGGCACCACAATCCCATTATTATCTGCAGAGGCTAACGGTTTTCCAAGTCCACTCCAAGTACAACACAGAACAGGAGCAGTGTGTTCCTTCAGAGTGCTTACAATGTCAGCTTTTGATATTGACCAAATGTAGACGGATCCATCCGTGGAACCGGCAGCGGTATAGTTGTCATCAGGGCTAATACACGAGCGACTCCAATTAGATGTCATCCTGTTTCCGGTTGCTCTGAATGTACCACAAACTTCCAAAGATCGTATATCGAATAAATTATGCAAATTATCTCTCCCACTTGTCAATACAACATTTCCATTTCGGGACAGAGAGATGGATGTAATGGGAAGCGAATGTGCTGCAACTTCGCTTAGTAATTTTGCGGTCCGTATATCCCACAAACGGAGATTTCCATCAACATGGTCCGAGCATACGGTCAGTCCATCTGTGCTGAAGCAAAGGGCATTGCAGTTGCTGTGAAAAACTATAGTGTAGGTGCAATAACCTTTCTGCAAGTCCCACACTTTTATCGTCCGATCATAAGCTGCACTAACAACATGACGACTCGAAACTTTGCTTACATCTACAGCACAAACTTTATCTTTATGACCTGTGAGAGTATGCTGGACTCGTCCCAAGTTGACATCCCATACAAACAAGTTGTTTGAACTGCTTGCTGCTATTATGAATCTATTGTCATGGGTAATTGAAAGATCAAGGACAGAACCGAGGCAGCCAGAAAGATTTTGGATTAAAGATCCGGTGCTAGTATCCCACATTTTGATCGACCGATTCTGTCCCCCACTGATCAATTTTCCGGAATTGTACTCGAACAGTATTGAAGCACAACCACCTTCGTGGGCATTGATCCTGTGCTTGCAAACAGAAGGAACAGTTAATTCTGCGACGAACTCAGCGCCTTGTTCACTTCTACGGACAATACCATCTACTTGCTCTCGAGCAAGTTTTTCTAAACCACAGGCCCTGAGCTGCTCGATCATATCTTCATAAAGTGCATTTGCCTAAATTAATTAAAGGAAAATTAAAGTTAAGCACTAATATTTCAAATCAAACGGGCATATTGAAAAGCAAATCATAAATCTTTCACAATTAAGGAGTAGGATTCAAAGTTTTTCATTACATTAATATTTGTCATTTAGGTTTAAAACTCGCACTGGAGTGTTCTATAACTCTAAATGACACTTTTGTTCATTTAAGCTCCTCTCGATTGTGACAAAGTTAAAGGAATATAAGAAAAACAAACCTAGAAGTTGATAAAAATAAAAAAAGTTACCACTGAAATTAGTTGTTTAAGAAACTCCTAAAGATTAATCATTACATGCCCTGAACCATCATTTCTTTTTATTTTTTAATTCTTTCTACTCCTTGTGCAATGCACAGTGCATGCAACTGGGAGTTGATTATCATAGTAAGATTTTTTGCTTCCAATCAAATTTTGAAATTTGAAAGTCACAAATAATGTCAACAGAGACAGTTTGATAATGTTCAGAATTAGCTACAGTGTATGCATGAATAACCTCATAATGGATCATAAACCGAACATGCTTAAATTTCAAGCACATTTGGACCTAGCCAATTATCATTCTCCAAGTCAACCAATCGAAATATACCTTGTTGTGTAAAACCAAAATATACCATACCTCGTTAAGCCGTTCAGCATCCTGCTTTTTTTGAAGCATTCAACGATCAACTAACATTTTATTTTCGGCCTCTGCATTTTTGGCTTTAATAGTCATTTGTTCTAATTGAGCTTTGAGTTCCTGATGCTCAATCATCACCAATTCCAAAGCTCCAATCTTTCCTTCTAAATCTGTTTTTAATTGAGAGCACTCATTCCTGCCAGCTTAAATATTGCATCTGTTATTAAGTTCACAGTGACTTCAAATCCAAAAAACTAACACTCTGGCACGCCAAACCCTAAAAAGAACACAACCGAACCTGGTTTGGGTCAATTCCTTCTCCAATTCAGCAATAGTTGTTTCTTTCTCTTGTAGACAAGCTTTTAAAGCTCGACACTCGGCTACTTCAACCACTAGTTGCTCAGACAATCGAGACTGTGCTTTGTAACATTGTTGGAGTTCCACTTCCAAGTTTACAGCTTTCTCTTTCCATTCCGAACCCTACAAATAAATTCACCAATTACCAAAGTTATTCTAACTGATCATTTTTCTTGAAGTATCCATCTCAATGTACATTTGAACATAGTTAAGAATATATGATCCAAAAATCCATGGAAAACTTAAAAAAATTAGAACATTGCATAATGGCTTTCTATTCTAATGGAAAGCCAATGATTTATCATTTCTTTTATTCAAACCCACTTGTTCACACATTAACTTGTATTCTTCAAAAATAGCAATGCAGTACATTGTAATGATCAAAATAACCCAGAGAGCAAACAAACAAAACCTGGGAGATGATGGGCCTGGAAAGAGCAGGAGCATGAGCTCCTTCTTCGAGTAAATGCCGTTTCTTCAGCGCCTTCAAAGCATGTTTTATAGCTTCCCTAGCTAACTCCTCTGGCGACCTGAAAAGATAGGACATCGTTTGTTTCTTAGTAGAATTTCCTTCAAATTAAAAAGGATAGAATCCATTTACAACATTTTCTAGTATAAGAAAAACAATGAATTCTGATCACTAACATGATAAGATTGGATGGAGATTAGAATTTACAGCGGAAGAACCGAATTGGAAATGGAATTAGGTATTTTGATTTGGATTTGGATTTGCATTCGGATAAGTAATCGAGGGATTGAGAGAAAAACGATGAGGAAGGCAGAGTTCTTCAATGAGTTTTAATCGGAATGAAATTATGAAGTAACCCAAGGACAATTCTGGAATATCATTACTTTTTTCCTATATATTGTTAGATAAAATTTAACAATAAAATTATCTATTCGTTTATTTAAAATATTATTTTATGTTTGATTTAAATTATCTATTATATAATAATGCATTTCATAACTTCATTCTAATCGATTGATTTAGTAAAATATATATTTTGTTTCAAAAAAATAAATAAATTTTGAATAAAATAAAATGATTTCTTAAGAAACCATCTATGAAGTGAATGGAAATATATTAGGTACGACAGTTTTAATATACGGTTAAGAAAATACGTTACCAGAAATATTATTATTTTTTTAACATTTCTGATAAAACGCTATCTAAAACATTATTTTTTTTACTGAAAATGTTAATATTGGATTCTACCGAAAATTAATTAGCAAAAATAACATTTTCGATAAAATTAATATTTTAAGTAACATTTTATCGAAAATATTAAAAAAACAATAACATTTCTGGTAAAAACATTTTTTAATCGTATATTAAAACTGCCGTATAATAAACTACAATATCATATATTTGATTTGATGTAGGTTTATGAAATATTAATATAATATAAAGCATATTGAATATATTTATTCGAGCTTCCGTTTAAACTTAAATAATATGATATGATAGTTATTGAAAAATTAAAAAAAAATCAAATTATTTAATTAAATATAAAAAAAGAAAAGGAAAGTCATCATCCGGCCCATTAGCATCCCTAAATCACATGTGATAAATCCACAACATAGCATAAACATCCAAACTCTGAAAACTATAGTGAAAAAATAGTTGTTAATTACAAGCTTTCCAGTTTTCCACAACATGAACATGCAGGTTAGATTCTCTTCTTCTTTTCATTCAAAATCAAAGAAGAGCAAATCTAAAACATATACCAAACCCTACCTTTCGTAACCGTATTTTGTCCGGCCATTGCGACACCTACAATCCGTAAACACCGCCGCTTTCGAAGATTCAAATTACGAGTTCTAAAGCAATTAAGTTATTAGTCCCAAACCAATTCAACCATTTTTTTTATCTGTTTCAGTTTTCTATATAATTCCTTCCCCCGATCGATGAAAGAACAGCCGAACCAGTTCTAAACAGCTGGGATTCTGTCTATCCAATCAACGCTCTTCCTTCCTTTCTCTAGCTGGACGTCGATGCTTGTCCGGGATTTATCGAAGTATTCCACACTTCGTCGTGATCTCTCCATCCTTTCCATCTGGTCTAACGATGTTTTAAGCTTTTCAAGCTTCTCCATGTTATTAAGCTTGTTATACTCATGAAGTTTAAACTTTTCAGGCCTATCAACGCTTTTCCTTGGCTTGTCTCGGGTATCAGTACTTTTCCGAGGCTTGTCCCGGGTGTCAGTGGTTTTCCTAGGTTTGTCCCTGCGGTCGATGCTTCTTCTTGGAGCCTCAAAATATTCGGTACTTTTCCTAGATTGTTCAATACCATCAGTACTTTTCCGGTAAGCATTTCTTCGGAAAGGTGACTTCTCAACAGTTGAGATGAATTTCTTGAGATGCCGAATATAATCGGGGTAGAGTTCCAAATCACAGTGGTTTCCTCCTTTCACCCATAATGGTTCATATTTCTCTTGGCACAGTTCCCAAAGTTGCTTCCCATGAGAGCAATCAACAACATCATCATTAGTTCCCTAAGTTCCGTTACCAGCACGAAATCACCAAAGTTAATGCCAAGCGCTCATTGCAGATATTCTTTGCAATTTAATAAAAACATTCGAGCATACATTCACAAACATAAGCTGAATTATCAATCCAAACACACGGTTAGCAGCAACTTATCGCAAATACATCCTTACCCAAATGTTTAAGGTCAATTAGGAACCTTATTTCACCATTTATTCCATCTAGTCCATGTTCGGATATATAAACCTGAATCGTCGGGTTAAGAATAAACTCCATCACCCAACTCCTCTTTAAGGTACTTCCTTAAACTTGTCAAATATCAAACATTTCTCTTAATCGCATATGATATAAAGCCTACTTTTTTTTCAAAAAAGTTTCATCTTAACTTCCCTATACCAGTACCCGATGTTATTAGGAATTGGGTGCGAGTGCCGGGTATGGGTTATGTACCCGACATGAATATGTTCAAGTTTTTAGTGAATAACATAATTAATACCTTTTTATCCCACAATTGCAGAATTCTTGTGCTAATATCTTTGCTGATAAAAAAACTATAGGCAAAATAGCATGCCACAATTTATTAGAAATAAGTAGCATTCCTATTATTGTTTCATGCAATTAACAAATGAAAAATATTGAGTTTCGGAAACTTACGTGAATTATCAGCACAGGACACTTTACCAATGAGATTTTGTCGATATTCTGCAAATCCATGTAAATCGAGTTGAGATACACGAAGAAACTAACATATGGATGCTTCAAACATCAGAATTTATAGAACTGAAACGATGAGAGAGTGGAATAGAACCTTGTAGATGTCAAACCAGTAAGAGCGCTTAACAGGATACATGACTCTTAACCCAGATAATATAGGACTATGCAGAACAACAGCTCTTAGGCGAGGTAAACGAGCAGCAAGATCCACAGTAGGACCACTTCCAACAGACTGACCATATAGGATGATATTTTCTTGCTTGGCACAATAATTCTCTTCAAGACACTTATATGCAGCTTCAATATCCGCATACGTATTCTGCTCGCTCGGCTGAACAAAAGCATACATATGAACATGAGAAAGAGCTTTCTGGATGCAAGTAATTCAGACACATTGCGTGAGTAGAGGATTCATGCTACAATTACCTTTCCCGACGATTGTCCATAGCCAGAGTAGTCATACCTGCAAAGATTTTTATACGTTATTTGAAATATTCAAGATGCCGTGCTAATGAGGGGATAAAACCAGTTTCACACATTAATCTTAGGAACTGTGTGCGCAATAGCAGATATCACCCACGGTTAGGCATTCCATGAAGGCTCAAACAGAAGCAGCAATGTAACACAAAAAGAAAGATCTCTATACTTCTACTTGCAAATCTATGCTACTCAAACTCAGATGCAAGTGTTGTAAACGAAAATGCTAAATTTCTTTTCTAAGTTGTCTCGCTTGGATGTCGATTTTGGGTATTCCAAGAAAAATACATGAACATGAGTAGGCTATAAGCCTCAATTTGCATTTTCATAGAAACTTTTCCTTTCTCTGAGAAAAATATTGCGTGCTCGTACATGACAATTACAAGTACCGAATGCTCCATAACCAAATTATCACCACCAGTTTCCATTAAACCTTAGATCTAAGACCGACAATACAGAAAACCATGAAGGACTAAAAGGTATCGAGTATTGTCCTTAGTTGAGAGCTATATTACCCAACTCTTCATTTTTTTTCTTGAAGTATTTGTGTCCGATGCATATCCGGATATGGATATATAGGAATATGATCCTCTAAAGATGCTCCAATCACATTGAAATCTTGAAATAATTGAACACATCTACATGTCCAACACTCGTATCCGGATTTGAGTAACATAGATTGGGAGTATCCTAACAAGAACAGTTCCGATCTATGCCTTTCTACCATTGATCTAATTGATGAAGCAAGGTAGACAGTGAGTAAAATTCATCAGAAACCACCATCTCATGACGATATTTTGTGGTTTCGAGTCGATCACAAGAATCACACACGATAACAGAATAAGTGAATAATCCACGGATACTTGAGAAAACAGATCCGAATTAAGAAATAACCCACCACAAGATTTCAAGCTCTGAATTCAGTTGAACCATGATTATGAACAACCTAAACTGGCATTCTTAAAGCTCAATAAACAAGTAATTTTCCCAACAAGGACCCTCAATCAGATCATAAGACAAAAAGTAGACCACAAAAATTAGAAACTTACATAAAAAACCCTCATCAAATATCAACATCCTAGCCTTACGCATCAAGAAAAGTTTATCATATAAAAAAGGAAATACTCATTTCTACATCAATATCACAAGCTCAAACAAATTGATGAAATAATAACGAAAAAATAGCTCAACTTTGCAGAAAACGAAGTAAATCCATACCCCATGAGATTGACCCTTAAGTGGATACTGAGCTCGATGAAAAGCTCATACATTTGGCCAATATCAGCAGCGTTCCCATGAGAATAAAGCAGAGTCGACGTCGCCATGGGGTACCTAACATAAACAGCAACGATTTCATTGCCGCGGCGAGTTGGGAGCCGCAAAACGTCGACGTTTTCGCGGTGAGGGAAAGGGTCCAGCAGCAAAATATCAGTTGCTTCATCCTTAATTAGCTTGTACGAAGGTGGATTGGGTGGAAAGAAGGCAAACTTGGCAGCCATTGATGATGTCACCCCACCCATGTTTTCTTCCTCGGTTTCTCCCGAACTTCGCAAAAAAAAAGAATTTGAGGGTTTGGATTGAAGCTAGGAATCAAAAGAAGATTGAGAGGAAGAAGATGATGAACATATTTCAACAAATTTTTCTATTTTTTGTTATTTTCTTTGTTCTTTCCTTTTCAGAGGATGTTTCTTTTGGCGTCTCCTTAGTAAAGACTAAAGGAGAGAGAGAGAGAGAGAGAGAGAGAGAGAGACGGGCAGTGATAAAATCATCACGACTGTCACCTAGAAAATGTAGATGTACCTGGCCCCTGCGAATCGCTTTAGCGTGTGTGAACTGTGTTTGTCCTTAAATTTATGTGGCGGGGTTTTTTTAGATCGGTTTTCTCATATTATTATTGGTTTTATTTTCATATTTTATTATAGGGTAAAGTACACGTATAGTACTTAAACTTTTACTTTTATTCCGTTTTGATATCTAATTTTTATTTTTTTAAGCTATACCTAATATTTAGTTTATATTCAATTTTGGTATCCACCTTTTAAAAACTTCACGATGATATTGATGTGTCACCATAAGATAATGTTAAGTTAGCAGTTCTATTAATTATTTAATGATAATGTACCAAATTGAAACATAAACCAAACGTTAGGTATAATTTTGAAAAAAATAAAATCTATATACTAAAACATAACAAAAATAATAATTTAAATATTAAATATATAATTTACCATAATCACTTATATTTGATTCATTATTTAGTTCATTTTAATTCGATGTTATGAATTTATAGGCTTGAGGGTCATTTTTGCCCCTATAATAAACCTAATTTATCAATTTCCCTCTTATTATTTATTTACATCAATTTAGTCATCGAAGTTGTTTATGGCGTTTATCATAACCCTTGAAGTTTGTTTTGACTAACATAACCATTAGTCTTATGCGTTTATCTACACAAGTAATTTCCAGATCAATTAATATTACTGCGTTTATCTACACCAATAATTTTCAGATCAATTAATATTGCGATGTGCCTGATGATGACGTGACATGTATTAAAAAAATATTTAAAATATTTTAAAAAATTAACCAAATCCCTTAATCTCATTGAAATAAATAATAAATTTTTGGGGAATTGTTATAATCATTGTGCTTAATAAATATTTTAATTTAATCTCTTAATCCACAAACGTAGAAGACTCACAATTAAGTTAGTCAAAATGATCAACAAATTTCAATGGAAAAAAACGATATGGGCGAAATTAATAAATTGGTTTTACTACAAGGAAAAAAATGACCGTTAAACCTAAATTTAATTAAGAATATTTAATTTATTGAGTAATTATTTTGAATTGGTTATTCAATAGATTTATTATGGGGATGACTCATTCAAACTCATACAAGATGGGACAACATGAACACTCTTGGGTAAGTATAAAGTAGTATATGTTCAAATATGTCTCTTAATCATTTAATATTAAACACTCATGCCCTGACATTCCTAGTACTTGAACCCAAGACCTCAAGGAATAACAACAATTCTTCTATCACTGAGGTCTCTTAGTTCGTGCTTGTTAATTCATATTTAATCCTTTTAAGAGAATGTTTATATATTTAATATTTCATGTTGATTTACAAAATTTAAATAATTTGTATATATGTTATTTTTTTTAATTTAAACAATTTGTTTGAACATATTGTCTATAAAACTTCAACTTTAATATTTTTTAAAAAAAATTGTGAGTGTAATTATACTTATAGTTACAAAATAACAAAGTATTAAAACAATTAGCAACCATAAAATACAATCAAAATAATAACAAAATATATACATATATTTTAATAGAAAATATATCCACATCTAAATTAAAATAAATCCAATAAACCGTAACAAAGATAAATATAATCTACACGTGAGTTAAAACCATTAAATCTTGAAACTAAGCCCTTAAAAATTGTTAGCTAAGGAATTTTTTAACAAGTATTTTATATTATTTTTAATTATTTATTTTGAGGTGTTAGATATCTTTTAAAAATGTGACATTGATAAAGGCATAGAAAATTTTGAATACTGATTTTGTTTATAGAATTAAATGTCGAGTTACTCTTTAATTAAAATTCTAAAACCAATCTTAATTTTTGTGGGACTTAAGTGGCTAATTTCGTAAATATTGAAAATGATAGGGTGTTAAAGCTAATTATACGAAGTTCATTAAGTCCGTTTGTGCAATGATGGGAAAATAGAAGGACGTAAGGTGCAAAACCAACCTTTTCAGAATTGGAAAATTGGTTTCACCGTTGAGGTCCAGGTTGTCCCGTTTTTATTACACGTGGCTCTATAATTTATTTATTACAATTGTTGATGTTGGAACCTAAATTCTTTAGCTATAATAATTTTTTTTAAGGTGTAAATGATTTTTATGATAAATGAATTGTTATTATTAGGGGTGTACACGAGCCGAGTTGAGCTCGAGTATAGCTGAGTTCGACTCGAAAACTATGAAATGCAGCTCGACTCGAAAACTCGTAAGCTTAAAATTTTTAAGCTCGACTCGAACTCGAAATCCTGAATTGAAGTTTGTGAGCAGCTCGAAAAGGCTCGAAATAAAAAAAATTATTAAACTTAACTAGATTGAAGCATCAAACTCGAACATGAACATAAAATACATGAAAGTCTTACTGTATTTTTTTAAAACAATCAACACATAAATATTAATATTATTAATAATTTATTTTTAAAAAAAATAAAATCTTAATATATTATATTTTTGAGCTGCTCACAAGTTTTTCGAATTGAGTATCAAGTAGTTCGTTTCGAAGAATTCGAGTCGAGCTCGTGCTCGAGTCAAGTCCATTCGATTCGAATATTTATAGAATCTTGATCGAATCGATCTCGAATAGCCACGATCTATATCATCTTATTTACGGTATAGTTGTTATTGTTTGGGGTTTAATTCACAAGAGTCGCGCTCTACCGCTGAGCTGTGAGCTACGATGGATTCTCGTTCCCAGCTTCCTTTCACATGTGTCTTGGAAAATCATCGGGAATAATGACCTTAGCCGATTCAAATGGACAGGAGGCGACGAAAAGTCAAAATCGAGGAACAAAATCAAATCAATCCCGCCATGGATGGCAACGAAACTCCACTTCTTGAACCCGTAAGTAACCTTCCTTATTTGTATTTCCTTAATGATTTATATTTTCTCATTTGAGTCAATTTGTTTGACATTAATGTATATTTGTTTTTTCCCTCAAGGATTTGACTAGAGACATTTTCAAGCAGATTTGGACCAGAAAAGCTCAAGGTTTCTCAAACTTAATCGATCTCACCATTTTATCCTCATTCCATAGCTCACAAAACAAAGGGATCTGGTGTTTTAATTCCAGAGCGTGAAGGTGCCGGATTTCAAAACACCGATGCCATAGACTCTGAGGTACCTTCATCTGTGATTTGGTTATTTCATATTTCTGTATTTCATTCACTGATTTTCATCCCTCCCCCTAATTTCAACGATAGGTTGGAGCGGGGACGTCAAAGAAGATTCGACCCACATTTCGTAATTTAGAAAGAGCTCTCCCTCAATTACTTCTTGATTTCTAAGGTACTTTAACTTACTAACTAATACCCCCATTCCCATCATACCAAATTGATCAATACACTTTTCCCCCACTTGAATTTTTGTGGTAATTTGAGTTGCTGTTATAATTATTGTTGTTGTTTTGGATTTGTATGTACATGATAGGCAATTTTCTCGTGGTTCTGTAATATATTATCAATTGTCAAGCGGAGGGAATTGTTTGTATGTGAAATAGCTCGAATTCTTGTTAGGAAATAAACAAGATAGTGCCAAATTTAGCATATGAATTAGTATATTTGTTTCTTTTGCCAACTTGTGCATTCTTTCTATGCAATTTACCTCTGTTACTTCTTCTTTGAGTGCCAAGTACTTGGCGGTGCAATCCATTGCGACGGCCCTGTAAGCTTCCTTCATGGAGTCGGGGATCTGGAGCCTTTGTTTGCGGTGGATGCGGGCAACCGTCTCCAAATAGTCGAGTATTTTCTCGGTAATCTGGCCGGCTTGGATTTCAGTTTGGATGGAACGGAGATTGATGGCTTTCACCAAGCGAGGGTTGGGGGTAAATGGTGGGAAAGCGTCGATAAGTTTCTTCACCAACAAATCGTTGGCGGGATTCAAGACAAGTGTAGACACCCGTTTTTGTCCGGGTCTACAAAAACATTTTATCATATATTCATTTATTATTGTTATTATTATTATTGTTAATAATATTTTTATTTTTTAATTTTGTAGGCCACATGTTCAACCCTCATTTCCAACAAACTACCCACTACCCAAAAATGAGGGAACCTCTATTGCTTTCCCCTTCCATCCACTACTCCCACAACGTCCATAACCACAACTCCACTAACTAGGTAATACACTTGCTCCAGACCGTGCCAATAAAAAAGGAGAAGGAAGTTCCACTTCAAAGGAGGGGGGAGGGGGCTCAGAATCTCTCTATTTCTATTCCCAAACAAAACCCGTATTCGGGTTCTATCCACGCTCTCCACTCCAAATTCCGGGGAAAAAAGTCATAGTTTTCCCTTCATTTCTTTCTCTCGATGGAAAAAGAAAAGGATCCCATTTTTCTCCCATTAATTCTCTACGGTTTGGTATCTCGGATGAGACATGAAGAAACCAAGAAATGAGCATTCGATTGTGTACGTGACATGTCGAAACGAATATAATAATGGCAGGAACGAGGCCATCACAACGAACAGAGACGCTATCAAGAACATATTTATGAACACAAAAAGCATCTATGAACTCTCCTCGTCTATCATCATCTCTCCTTGGTGCCTCAGTTTCTCATTCTACTTTCGGCTCGGCCATAGCCATGAAAATGGAGGAAATTCATATCCTGAGAACCAAACCGCATGTTCTCCAAGTGTTGGCCATGGAATATTGTGCGATGATGCATGTAGAGAAGATCTGCCTAGTGGAGGGAGCAGTGGTGCCTAGTGGAGGGAGCAGTGGTGGAAATTGGGACCCATGTTTCATTGGCATGATTTGTTTATTTTGAATAAACCCACGTGAAGTGGACTGGGGTAAATTCTAGACATGGTCCTTCAGTTATTTGGGTAAATTACTCCATAGCTATTCA